CCCACCGCTGTAGCTCTCTGTTGTTAGCGCTTTCTGTTAATACCGTGGTTAAAATAGCGACTCTCTGTTGTTAGCGCTTTCTGTTAATGCCGGGGTTAAAATAGTTTTTTTATAAGTCATGGGCGAGATACAAAAAAAAAATTAATTTAAGACTGTTTTTATTAAAATCGTGGGATTAATAAAGTTGCATCTTATCCTATATAATTTAAATGAACCGTAGTTGACGATGTTTACTTGAGAACAGACACTTGAACTTGAACATTTTTATTCACTCATTTGTACCAACCAATTATTAACTCTTTCAGCTCCGATCCCTAACATTTGCTCCGCTGTAACATGTTTTTGGATCGGGATGATACCATTGGCTGGAGCAGCTAGGGTGTAACATGGTTTGGTTTTCCATCACTGTGCCAATGTCACTCAATCCATCCTGTCCAATGTTTGATTGATGGCCAGAAGAAGATCTTCTAGCCGTCAATCAAACATAGGGTGCATTACTGACACCTACAGGCTGAAGTGGGCGCATCAATGTAACTACAAAATTAAGTTACGATTAAATTTTTTTTTTTGACATTTTTTGTCTGTAATTAAGTAATGACAATTAATGAGTTGACCTCCCGTTGTAATTTATTTTAGGGGGGTTTACAGAGGGTTTTTTTTTTATTTTTAACAAGGCTGTGTTGGCAACCACCTCGCCCAGACAGACTGCTGAGAAAGTTAAAATGTTCCTAGCTTCATACCAGTTAACCAGATTTTTAGCAGAATTGTAAATGTACTTTACCTATCCCCAAGGATTTTTTTCTATCTCATGTTTTTCTGTGTCACTCTGCCACTGATCAGAGCTGCTGCTGCTGCTGCTGCTGCTGCTGCTGCTTTCACACGGGCTGCTGTGCTGATAAGATCTCTGGAAGAAAATGGTTTAAAGAGAGCCTTAAGAAAGAGCTTTGGGGGATGGGGAATGTTAAGGCTAGAACCAGTTCAAACGCCCTGCATGTGTGTATATATATATATATATGCCTTTTATATATATATATATTTCTTTCCAGGCATTAAATGACATGCTTATGAGGACATTAATCCAATTAGGGCATTTGAAGAGTCTGCACTAGCAGCGATCTTCTATCTGTTCTTTCACTCTTGACTACTTACTTTATCTTTTATTTTTTTTTACATCTTGTTCCCCATTTTCACTGGATTTTTATTTCATCTTAGTCCCATTCGGTGACAAAGCTCCTGGCATGAGCTGGTGTAGGCAGATTTGGACACATTTGTAGAGAAGATAATCTTGAAGAAGGAGTTTGGTCAACGCTGAGTGACCAGATTCCCAAGGTGAAGATGTTGTTAACCACATAAGAATGGAATTGTCCCTCTAACTTTGACAAGTTTCCCTCCGCTGTCGTGTCCCTCTACCTGTCCACTCGTCCCTCTACCTGTCCACCCGTCCCTCCTCTCTCCTGTCTTGTCGTCGTCCTCTCTCCTGGCAGTTCCTGACTTTGACAGGCCTCCAGAAACTACTTTGCCCTCATCCTTCCTTTGTCCTTTTTCTTTCTGTGCGTTTTCCTCCTCCTTCCAATTAAAATCTTTGCCCCCCCCATCCACCCACCCACCCACTCAATTCCACTCGATCCTGCATTCAGCTCATCCCCTCACGTCCTCCGTGTTTTCTGCTCAGGCGGAATATTACAGAATGTTCCCATTCGTTTCCCCCATCCCGTAGCTCACCCATCCCATTCCTCTTGAAAATATCTTTATGATATTCCTCTCAAACTCCCCCTCCCCCCTCCCTCCCTCCCACCCATTCCCCAATCCCCGCTGTCTTTTACTCATTTTTTTTCCCCCACTGCACCCTGACGCTTCCTCCTCGGATTCTCATTTCACACTCATTTATGGTAACCCCTTTTTTTTTTTTTTTTTCCCGGGTCCTTCTCCTCACATCACTCCTCCCCTCTACCCCTTCACCCGCAGCACCACCGGAGCACTTCCTCCACTCCTCATCTCATTTCCCCTCTTCTTGATTAGTTGACCTTTGTGACCGCTTCACACCCTCGTCTCCTCCCCCCTCTCCATCTTCCTCAGCTCCACTTCTTAAGCTGCGTGATTAGTTTCTCACAAACTCATTTTCATAGTCCATTCCTGGACTCAACATGGGGCAGGGGTGACGAGGTGTGGGTGGGTGTGCACTTCAGGAACCGAATCTTTGTGTCGGGAAAAAAAAGTTAAGAGTTGAGTCTTCGAACACGTTAGCAGATACGGCCAAGAAATTAGGGTTTGTTTTGGTTTGTTTTTTTTTTGTCATTCCCAGATGGAATTTAACACCGAGTTACCAGTTCCAAAAAAAAAAAAAAAACTCGAACTCTCCGGCAGAAACGTCCCTTCAGCAGAGGCGGTGGACTGTTAGATTGGAAAATGAGGGGGAAAAAATAGAACAGAGAGAGAGAAAAAGATAAACAGATGGTCTTATCAGAGTGTCCCGTGTCTTGTCTTTAATTTGGACACCAACAGGGATAGAGATGCACATTTAAAGAAGAGAGAGAGACACAGGGAGAGAGAGAGAGAGAGAGAGAGATGCTTCATATTAGTCACGGACGAGGGACTCTAGCAGTGAAACAGCTAGCAGGTGCCACTGTAGAATACAGATGTTTTGGTGTATTAAGTGAGCTGCACAAATTCCCCCTGGGATGGAGCCACATGAAAGGACTGGTGTTAAGCCTTCATGTATGAGCGCTTATTTGCATTTATAAATGTATGTCGCTGCTCTAATTTGAATACAGCTCCAGCAGCAAACGTGAATGGTTGAAATAAATGCGCCGGAAGGTTACGTGTGTGTTAGACATCAGATCTAGATGAGATTATCTACGCTTGTCAACTTTATACATGAGGTGGACCAGACTGTGGTCTGAACTGTTACAGGAACAGTAACTAGGACTAGTCAAGATGTGACTCGTCAAGATGTGACTAGTCAAGATGTGACTAGTCAAGATGTGACTCGTCCTAGTCCCGTTTCTAATGAAGTGTTTTCCAATGCGTAGAGGACAAATTTTATTTCATGTTGGTTTGAATGTAAAGTACAATGACCACCAAGACCTTAACAAACTTTGTTGAATTTAACACGTCATCTGACTGCACTGTAGGGTCAAATTAGTGACTTCCTTATGGGAATAATTTAAAATTAATATATGTATTTGTCAATCTACACATTAAAGATTCACATTATCTAATACAGTGAATAATAAAGGGAAAATAAAAATTTCAATAACATGTACTTTTCTATTAAAATACCATAACAGTCATTAGTTAATTAGTAAAAAGCCAGTCATTTTTTTATAAGATGAAAATATTAAACGTATCTTAATTTAATTCTTAATAATTTCGATATACAATCAACTAAAACTGAACTAAAATTCCAGTTAAAAACAGTTTTGTTGACTTAAACTAATAGTTACAAATAAGTAGTCATTTTTTTGTGTGTCTGTGTGTGTGTGTGATTGTTATGCCGTGAGTACAGGTGACCCAGGTCAGAGGTGAGGGCTCAGGCTGTGGTGCGGGGGCCCGGTCTGGGCCACTCCCACCAGTGTCAGCGTCAGTGTCAGCGTTAACTCTGGGTGTCGTTTAAACAGTGTTGCTGTTAGATTGATGTGAAGTCAGTGACATTTACATAGTCTCTGCTTCCCTCACAGTAAACAAATCCAGAGGCTGAGCTTGATGTGAGGATCAGGAAAAAAAAAACAACAACAACAACAAACTGCCAGTAAAGCAAACATAGAGAATTCCATGACATCATTTTGATTGTTTAATTCAGTCGTTCTATTAGCGTTTACTGTAGCATCTTAGTGACAGACGACACAACACACACACACACACACACACAAGCTCAGAATTCATAGTAGTCATTGATATGACTTCCCTCACCTCTCCCCCCTCATCTCTCCCCCTCACCTCCCTCCCCCCTCGTTGTATCAGACCACACTCCAGTTCCAGGCTGTTCAGGGTTTTTTTTTTTTTTGCAGCCTTGTTTCCTTTCCTTTTCTGTTTCCTTGTTCGCCCTTAGCATCTCTCTCTCTCTCTCTCTCTCTCTCTCTCTCTGTGTCTGTTTCATCTCCACTCTTCTGTGGTCTGGGTTCATCAGATGGCGGCCATCTTTGTCCAACTTCAGACACGTGTTGACACACACACATAAACACATTTATATCTATTTGTTCACGCTGGCGTTTATAGATCTCAGTGTGTGTGTGTGTGTGTGTGTGTGTGTGTGTGTGTGTGAGGCAAATAGAGTGTGATAAGCTGCTTACCAGGTGTGTGTTGTCATGCATCGCAGCTCTTCAGGCAGCGCTCCGCTTTTGTTCTTTGATTAGTGTGGAGCCAAAGTGTGTGTGTGTGTGTGTGTGTATATTTTTGTGCACTGGGTAACACATGATGCCAGCTGAATTATTTAGGAGGCAGAAGGAGTGACTACAGGACAAGCAGTTGAC